TACTCTGTGTGTCTATAAACGACCGTTAAATGCAATGATGAATTGTTGAAGGATTTTGAACACGGAAAAAATTATAGTCATGCCGGCCCACCATCCTCAACGTTGAAAAATGCTCCGGTCCGAAGTGGTTTATGAGACCCACAGCAAGGATTAGTCACTCAATCCTGGGTGGTTAGAAGCTCAAGTCCACAAGCTGGTTCATATTGATGACAACAGCACAGGGATTGGTCACTCAATCCTAGGTGGTTAGAGGTTCAAGTCCACAAGCTGGTTCATGTTAATGAGACCCAGAGCAAGGATTGGTCACTCAATCCCCGGTGGTTTGAAGCTCAAGTCCACAAGCTGGCTCTCGTAGATGATACCAGTACAAGGATTGGTCACTCAATTCTAGGTGGTTAGAGGATCAAGTCAACAAGCTGATTCATGTTTATGAGACCAGAACAGGGATAGGTCACTCAATTCTAGGTGAATAGATGCTCAAACCCAACTGCTGGTTCGTGTAGATGAGACCAGAGCAAGGATTGGTCACTCAATCCTGTGTGGTTACAAGCTCAAGTCCACAAGCTGGTTCATATTGATAAAACCAGCACAAGAATTTGTCACTCAATTCTAGGTGGTTAGAGGCTCAAAACAACTTGCTGGTTCATGTTAATGACACCAGAGCAAGGATTGGTCACTCAATCCTGGGTGGTTAGAAACTCAAGTCCTCAAGCAGGTTCATATTGATGATACCAGCACAGGGATTGGTCACTCAATCCTGGGTGGTTAAAGGCTCTAGTCCACCTGCTGGTTCATGTTAATGAGACCCAGAGCAAGGATTTGTCACTCAATCCCGGGTGGTTAGAGGCTCAAGTCCTCCTGCTGGTTGCCGAGACCAGAGGAAGGATTGGTTCTCCAGCGCGGGTGGTTTGAAACCACAGTTACTCTCACCCAGTTAGATGCTGAAGACCTTTATTGGTCAAGCCTTGATTGTTTGAATCTCAAGTCCATCAGCTGGTTCATGATGACGAGATCAGACCAAGGATTAGTCACTCAATTTTCGAAGGATTGAGGCTCAAGTCCACATCCTGGGTTCATATTGCTGAGAGTAGACCCAGGGTTGGTCACTCAAGCCTGGATGGTTTGAGATTTGACCTCACTCAAGTCTGGTAAGAGGCTCAAAAGCTAGAACTTGTCACTCAGACCATATCTGGATGGTTTGAGTCTCATGTTAGATCAGTCCCTCAAGCAGGATTGTTCGAGGCTGGTAAGCGGCTCAAAAACTTGGACTGGTCACTCAAGTCTGGATGGTTTGCGGCTGAAGTCCAGCCATTACTGAGACTAGAGCTATGATGTTTATACTCTTACGTCCAGTAGCTGGTTCAAGCTGCTGAGACTAAAGCTAGAATTGGTTTAAAAGTATGCCTGGAAGGTACATGCTTATTAAAGTCCACCTGCTGTTTCACATTGGATACATGAATAAGATAATTCCTCATCATTTGCCTCAATCTATGCTTGTAATGAAAGCATAACAGATGGGGTTCTTTCCTGCAATACTTACAGAAATGTAATGATGACTCTTCATCGTCAGGGATTTACGATGACTTGAAATAAGAAAACGAACCCACAAAACACAACAACAGTGAACCCCGGTTGGGAAAGATGAATGTGGAATACAGCATTTTGCTGTAACACAACTGGATTTAATGTGCCGGTAATATTTAAACTTCTGCTTTGACTACAACATGTCAGTCTCTCTCTGGTTTTGAATCCGATGAGGTCAAACTGTGCAAACTATCCCAACCTTTTTTACACTTCCAATAAACTTTGACAACCAGTTTAAGATATGAAATGCGCGTCTAAATTCCTAATGGTTAAAAGCTAATTACTAAGGTGGTTAGGAGTCATCTCAAATCTCGTCCGGGAAAAGTTGAGGATAAACTTTGTGGAGTGTTGTTGTGAAATGTTGAAGGCTTCTGAAAAAAATTCCCCACAATCTCCCCAGAATGAAGTTATCAATAGTTGTATACAAATCCCCCCAACCCACTCTGCGGTTTTGGCCAGGCAGGCCACTCAAGGACACCTGTGGTTTTGATGACAGAAGAGCCACAGGCAAAGGACTACACTCCTTACACAGAGCTTTTTGAAACTTCTCTAACTGTATCATTTGGAATAAATATACATCGACCCTTTCGGGAAATACAAAGCTTTTTCAGGTTTTTTTTCTTTTGCTGGAAAGCTACGGTCTTGCTTTAGG